AGGATAAAAAAAACCGCGTGGTGATGGAACTGCATTAAGAGGCCTGGGGCGTGGCCTCACCGGTAACCACCGCCAGGAACGCACTCCCTCACCAGAGAAGGATTGGCCACCCTGGTGCAGCATCTGGCCACTACCTCCCACATGCATACGTCAATGAACTCACGGCCCTCAGTCCCCAGCAGCTGCGAATCAACTAACCACGGCGGCGGTCAGATCTGCAACGCAGCAGAGGGTGCTAAAAATCTCTGGATCCGGACAGGCCGCCATTGGAACCTGAACTTGGCAACGTTTAACGCTAGAAACTTATTTAGTGAGGCAAGTCTAGCTGTACTATTCAAGTATCTAGAGGGTGTTAAATGGCATATAATAGGGCACAGTGAGGTTAGGAAGACAGATGAGGCCTATACGGTGCTACAGAATGGGCACGTCCTTTGCTATCGGCACTTGGCTGACAGAAGAGAACTGGGAGTGGGGTTCCCTATGCACAGAAACATAGCTGGCAACATAGAAGAATATTATGGCATCTATGAAAGGGTGGTAGGTATCGTAAATAAACTGAATAAAAGATACAAGATGAAAGTGGTACAGGCTTACGCCCCCACATCCAACCATGATGACTCTTCAGTTGAAAGCTTCTACGAAGACGTGGAATCGGCAATGAGTAAGGTAAAAACACAGTATACAATACTGATGGGAGACTTTAATGCGAAGGTAGGGGAGAAGCAGGCTGGAAACCAGGCAGTAGGAGATTATGGCATCGGTACTAGAAACGCCAGAGGAGAGCTACTAGTAGAATTCACAGAACGCAATAATTTGCGGATTTTGAATACCTTCTACCGAAAACAAGGACACCACAAGTGGACATGGAGGAGCCCTAATGGAGAAAATAAGAACGAAATAGATTTTATAATGTGTGCACACCCAGGCATCGTGCAGGATGTGGAAGTGGTTGGCAAGATACAATGCAGTGACCATAGAATGGTACGGTCTCGAATTCGTGTAGACTTGAAAAAGGAACGACAGAAACTGATACGCAAGAAGCCAATCATTGAGCTAGCACTGCGAGAGAAAGTACAGGAATTCAGATTTTCGCTTCAAAACAGGTACTCGGCTCTTAGTGAGGGAACCAACCTCAGCGTAGATACAATGAATGATAATCTGACGAGTATCATTGCGGAGTGTGCAGAGGAAGTTGGAGGCAGGGTAGTTAGACAGGACACTGGAAAGCTTTCCCAGGAAACGAAGAATCTAATTAAGAAGCGTCAAACCATGAAAGTCTCAAGTACAACAGACAAAATAGAACTGGCAGAGCTTTCGAAGTTGATTAATAGGCGTAAGGTATGCGATGTAAGAAGGTATAACATAGAATTTAACACGCTCTGAAAACGGAGGAAGCGTCAAAGCAGTGCGGAGGAAACTTGGGATAGGCAAAAATCGGATGTATGCACTAAGTGACAAAGAAGGTTAAATAACTACCAATATGGATAGGATAGTTAGAATAGCGGAGGAGTTTTACAGAGATCTGTACAGCAGCCGGGACAACCACGACCTTAGTACTATAAGAACTAGCAGTAACCCAGATGACACCCCACAAGTAATGATAGAAGTCAGAAAAGCTTTGGAGAGCATGCAAAGAGGCAAAGCTGCTGGTGAGGATCAGGTAACATCAGATCTGCCGAAAGATGAAGGACAGATTGTGTTAGAAAAATTAGCCACCCTGTTACGAGGTGGCTCCTGACGGCCGATTCCGCCGTCGATCCACTCGAGCTTGCGTCGAAGGGATTCCGAAGTTTCATTGTCTGCGACGGTGACGACAGTCTTGCAGGTTTCTCCGGCTGATTTCAAATGTCCTTGAAATGGTACCTGGCGGTCCCCGATCGTCAGCGTGATGTCCCCGATGAGCTTCGAGGCCAGGCTTTCCGTTTTCACACCTACAACAACGATGCTTTGGTCCCACACCGGCCACACGGAGATACCAGCGTTCGTGGTGCTGCCGGTGAGGCGTTGCACTGCTGTGCCAATCCCGCCTGGGCCGAACGCAGCGTGCAGATCCATGGTTATTTTTGGTTTAAGCACAATAACCAACTCGTCCGACCGGATTCGAGGCGTGTGTGTTGGCTTCCACGTCGCCAGCTGCCGCGGGGACTCAACGCAAGCTGCGGGTGTTGATCTTGTTTTGCGAGCCTGTGGCTGGGCGGCGGCCGTCGAGCCTCGGGGCTTCATTTTAGCGAGCTTCTCTTGCAGTTGGCGAACCATGATCTGAAGATATTCGTCTTCACCTGGTATGGGGTCTTCCCGTGATTCTGCCACCTCGATGTCAACCGACTGCATCGTGCTGGGGTCGTAGCCTGTCTTCGTGGACGCTGCCATGGCTGGGGAGCCCGGGCGCAAGCCTCGTCGGCGTTAGGCTTAGCCGGGCTCGGGCGTCGCGTGGTGTTCAACCAGTCGTAGATTGGCAGAAAATGGGCCTACCTGGATAAAATAGGTATCCAGAGGTTCCAGATGGCTTCGCCGAAACGCTGAAACCAGTTTCTGGTGGATATTTGCCAAAAGTCCACAACATTCGTCGATTTCCGACGGAGCCGACGTGACATGCGTCTCACGCGCGCGCTGAAACGCCGCGTCTCTTTTTACCGCGAGATATCCTTGAAAACCAACGGCTTGAGCAACGAAGGTACAGTGTACCACACACAGCTTTACCCGGCCGGAATTCTTATGACTGGCGCCGTATACAAACTGACACATATCCAAATCTTGCATTGAAGCATGCTATACACCCTGCGATGTACAGCGACAGTTGTCCGTGGAGCGAAGGCAGGCTCACTATCGCCCACATAACGTGGGATTGTCGGAAAAGGCCAACCGAAATCAACTCGCCGCAAATAGCCGGCAAAATTGCCGCAAGAGAGCAGTGGGAGACTTTGCTCGCCAGCGAGGATCTGGGAGAGCAACTAGCGCTCCCAGATCCAGTGCCAGTGGAGCCCTGGAATTGGGGCCCCACCCACAGGCTCCCCGTATCAATTTTTCCCTTTTTTTTTCATATAAACGTTTTGATATATATATATATATATATATATATATATATATATATATATATATATATATATATATATATATATATATATATATGCACGTTCGCTTGTTCTTTGCACTACCCAGTTATTACCAGTGCGACAATGAGGGCACTGGTGGCGGAGTTTTTCGCAGCGTCGCCTGGGAAGTCTGACGTCTATCGCAAAGGTGAGCCACACCCCTGATGCGTATTGTTCGAAACAATCGAGAGCGCAAAGCACTCTACATATGGCGCCGCTATGTACATGGCGGTGGCCACATTAACTGCCGTTGCTCTAAATTTATTTGTTAAAACCAATGCCTGCGAGAGGGTTTACTTTGGAGGTTTGGTTCATGAATAGTTTACTGGTGAGTAAATAAATCACTTAGTTTGCGTGACTCCGCCGCGCTTAACGGCAGCACACAGAGCACATTTTACGACTTCTCATTAACGTCGAAATCTTCAGATCGCGAGCGATTACGATCGGCGCCGATCTCAAGTGGTCGGTGTGACACAGGACAGCGTGTTATCATGAGCTTATTCAAAAACACAGAAATATGCTCATGGCTTTTCGATAAGGCAGGTTTTCAGTTGCAGTGGATCACGCAAGTGCAGTTTTTGATCGCCTCGCTTGAACAGTGGCTACGGTGCTCGGCTGCTGACCTCGCGGGTTCGATCCCGGCCGCATTTCGATGCAGGCAAAATGGCGGAGGCCTGTGTACTGTGCGATGGTGGAATTTTCCGCAGCCTTCACTCCGTTTATGCTCTTCCGATTGCACCTCTCCCGGGCGACGCACGTCATCGGGCCCCTCATGTAGTCGCTCACTTCACATCTGAACGAATACGCCAGTACTATCACACACACCAGGCAAGCACCACCGGGACAGTTGAAAGAGCATTACCGGAGGTATTCTTGGCTAGGTCGTTCGGCGCAAGCCAGTCTGTTTACTAATATGCGCAACACGCGAGTAATAATGGTAACGTTAAACCATAGTTACGCAATCTTTGACTGGTCTTATCGGAGCGCTCTCCTGAGCGAGGTTGCGTCTTTTCCTTTCGTCAACTTACCTCTCTTAGAAGAGCGCTCCGAAAAACGACCTGTCAAAGATGGCATTTAATTCGACCTGTAGTGCACAAGCCCTCGACCCCGCTACGTGTCATTTTAACACGACAGCGTTAAGTTTAAGGGCTCGTTACGCAGATATACCGACGACGGTGATTGTGTGCGAATAAAATCATAGACTTTTACGGTTCGAGTGAGGATTGAACCCGTTCCGTTAACCTTTTGAACACACATTCGCCAGCCTACTTATACATCAAAATAAATTCTCTCAGTTTGGAAATGCAGTGAAAACAACACTTATGCTTCCGACGCGTCCTGTATACAAGTTTCACCACACAACGTGTTATATCGCAGTAATAATGCGTGGTACAAGCACACATAGCCATCGTGCGTGAGAACAGCTGCCAATGACCACGTCTCAGTTTTTAAAGCCAGCCACAAAAGGCACACAAGTTACTATCCGAATACGTAGAGGGTGCATAAAAAGTTCGAAAAGATTTTATGCGCATCATGGTTAAATCTATACTATCCATTATTACACATGCTCTACTGACACAAGCCACTTTTATGGCTTCTGTCACACTGTGGTAAGCCACATTGTGGTAATCTGCAATTTAAACTTCTGAGTAACATCATGCCATAACAAGTATGCACTAGGCGGCTCAAGTACTCACTACAGGGTCAGAATATTGCTATCGCGTTCAAGTTTAAGGGCCCCCCAATTTCGCTAATGTGCTGCGCACTTTACTGCACATGAACTGCAGCATGTCATAGCAGGTGCTGCTCTTTGTTTCATAAGCGATTAAAATAGGCCGACTGCAGGTGAAGCACCATGGCACATTGGAAGTTCATATGTGGCAGCTTCTGAAGTCTAAGCAAACCAAATGATTTCGAAATGTTTATTTGTACAAGAAGATATAATACAAAGTGGTCTCCACATTCTGTAACCACTACCTATACTAGAAAAAGAAACAAGTCTTAACTTCGACAGTTACCACTGCACAGTATAATTTCACCAATACCCATGTGAATGACCGGCCACAGCGCCAAAACAGCACTTGCACTACACACACACGCAGACACACACAAAAAGTATAGGCACATTTTACTGTGCTAACTTTGTACCGCCAAGGTCACACAGCAGTCTGAAAACCTTCGGACTATAAACCATGCAGAAGAAAACTTCGTTCACAGCACACACACAAAAAATTGCAGTGCACCTAAAGACTTGCTTTACCCATTTGTTATCAAAGCTGCATCAAACTTCTTTGCAGCCTTGTTTTAAATCATAGTACTCTGCATCTTTTCAGCTTACTACAAGCTCGTCACTTGTATTCAACCTTCAGGCCCTGCTGGTCAGTGACGTGCAAATTCACATTTGCAACAAATCCATCAAGCAGACCACCTGTTGAGAGCTCAAAAATATACTGTGGACAAGTTTTCAGCATTTGGACTAGCTGTGAGAAGCCAAGAAAAACATCAGCTTTCAGCAGCCCTGGATGCTATGTGCAGCTTCCACTTTTACTGGAGGGATGTGTGGGAAACGTAAAAGTATGGGTGAGCCACCACACAACAATGCAACGCAATACACTCGCACAGCAGGTCAGGTCAATAGAAAGAAAAAAAATCTAAAATCAAGTATACTAACAATGCTCTCATTTTTTAAAGAGGCAGTGACACCTGTATGTTAACGGTGTCCAGAAAGAAAATAAAAACAAATTGATATAATTAATTACACACGTCCATCATCCATGTAAGCACGACAGGGCACGGGGCATAAGCCCTGTCGGGATTCACACACACACAAACACACACCACACATACACACCGGTGCACTCACTCTAAATAAAAAGAAAACCGGAATTATTTCACACAAACAAGAAAAAGCAAGACATGCAGAAGGAAAAGGAGAAGAAGTGCACCAGAGGCTGGGCACACTATGAATTTTTTATTGTACCTAACACTTCTTGGTCTGCATTTGTTCCTGCTAAAATGACGTCCAGTGAATGAGAGAGAGAAAGAGAAAGCAGTACCAGCACTAGCAATAACTAGCAAACAAAATGTGCTCCACACTCAAGATTTTTTTCAAAGGAAAATATCTGGCTGTCATGACGCTAGCAGCTGCAGAAACTGGCAATGGCAGACGACAATGGCAGACAACAACAGAAGAAAAAGTCGCAAAAAAAAGGAAAAAAATCTTGGCTGCAATCTTGCTTGCGTGATGTTCTCGTCGGCCCCACCAAAAAGAACAAAGGATGCAGCACCCTATATGTGCAGGCCCTCAAATCTTCTGTATCTTGTCCCCCACCACCACAGGATTGTTCTTTCTGATCTCCTGAGCACCCATTTCCTTATAGTCAAACGTACAGTCGTGCTCGTTGGAATATCTGTGGAGGCTGCAAAAGAGACCCCCACAGCGACACTGGAAGCCTGCACACAGAAAAGGCATAAGCATCAGACACAAGTACTTGCCCACTGCGCTGAGCAAGCTATACAGTTCATCTAGTTAAACTGGACAGGTCGCGCCATCTAGCGGGGACCAAGCACGCCTTCCATCTCAGATGCCATGGCAGGAAATTGTTCAAATGGCTGTTGTTGCTGTTGTGAATCCTGCTACTTTCGCTCTGCCACTACTAGTGTTGGCGGCCGCACAGTAAAGCCGGGCAACGTTGTGCATGGCATCAGTGCCGTGACAGTTTACACTTTGAGGTGGGTAATGTGAAGTGTGCTAACGCGATGCAAACCACAAATCATGATTTTATTTCAAAATAAGCACTTCTTGGCACAAAAGTAGCACTACGAGATTTCTGGACCGCTATTTCAGCAATCAACATCGACTTAATGATGGTGTGTGTGTGTGTGTGTGTGTGTGTGTGTGTGTGTGTGTGTGTGTGTGTGTGTATGCTGACACCCCCTGTAAAGCCGTTTGCACCTCATTGCGCACCTGTTTCACGAGCACTTATTGTATTCACTCTCATAATTTGCGCACTTTTTTCTGCGACTCCGAGGGGTGGTGCAAATTACGCAGGAATTTCGCGAATGCACACGAAATAATGAGCAATATTTATTTATTTATTCAAAATACCTTACAGACCCAACAGGGCATTGTGTAAGGGGAATATAAAAGGAATACATGCATGAATCGGTACAATTTCCATACAAACAATGACATGAACTAAATGTCAATTATTATACAAGTCCTAACGGGAATAACAAAGTCCTAACGCACGTTTATACATGGATGGATGAAAAACTTTTATGGGGTCCTGAAGGATTCCACCCCCGTTTTATAGGGGTAGAATCGCGGGCCGCTCCCACGTTGGGACGGGGAGGCCCAGCCTCACCGCCGCATCGTGGGCCTTCTGGACAGCCTTGAGTTGTTGTATGAGAACCGGACTCGTGAGCATTAAATGAAAGGAGTTCTCAGAAAATTCTTCATTTTTTCTTTGTAAAGAGGGGCACCTCCAGAGCATGTGGTTAAAATCACTGCGATTCTGGCAGCCTGGACAAAGTTCTGAAATATCGGAGTAATGGCTATAGATTACGAGGCTAGGGTATGTTCCCGTCTGAAGCATGCGAAGAGAGATTGCCTGTGGCCTAGACAACTTTTCGTGTGGCAATGGAAATGACCTACGGCCTAATTGATAATGCTTCGTGATCTCGTTGAAGGTAGTCAAAATGTCCCTAAAATGAAGGCTGCTGGCTGACTCCTCTGTCTGAGAAGCACAAGTCCCAGCGCGGTAAGTGAAGCCTCGCGCCTTGGGGTGGGCTGGCTCGTTGACATTGGGAAGGCCTCCAACCCTTAAGCCAAGGTGAGCAGGGAACCAAATAATTGTGCGGTGGGCGAGTTCCTTGTGAGCGAGAATTCTCAAAACTTCCTTGCAGACGGAACCAGAAGCGAAGGCCCTAGCAGCGGATTTAGAGTCCGTATAAATATCAGTACTTTGTGGATCAAGGAGTGCTAGTGCAATGGCCATCTGTTCTGCTTTGTAAAAAGAAGGGGTTCGAACTGACGCCGAGGATAAAATCTGACCCTTAGTATCTACGGATACTACCGCAAAGCGAGCGGAAACGCCATACTGGGCGGCATCAACAAAGCATGAAACAGACGATTGTTTGTGAGCTTGAGCTAAAAGAGAGGAGATACATTAAAGAAAATAAAATAGATTGGGGCACCAACGAAGTGTACTTGTTAATTTAACAGAAATAGTCTTAACGCGTGTTTATACATTAAAGAAAATAAAATGAATTGGGGCACCAACGAAGTGTACTTGTTCATTTAACAGAAATAGCACGTACGTTAACCAGTAAAGCACGGTCACGCGTGGTGAGTTTAGTCGAAATCGCTGATCCAGAGGTCCGATTGTCACGGCCCTGCTACCGCCCTACCAAACCGCATCGCCCTTGGTTCTGCCCAGTGCGTTACCGAGGGCCCAGATGGCACCCGGTACCCAGATGGCACCACGCGTGGCACGTAATCTCGAAGGCTGCCACAATCGGGAGGCAGAGTCACATGCGCACCTGAAAGGGTCTCCTTTGTTGGTCGGCACCTGGTAAGCATGTGTTTCCTTGGTCTGCGTCCCTTTTGGGAATCACCGGACTGTACGTAGCCTGCCTGGGTGCCTTGGCATCCCCTTCAGGCATGTTTACCCAAGTGTTAGCTTCGGTACCGTACGCTAAGCCAACAGCCGTGCCTAGTGCTTGAAGTGGTCGCACCACACCAAGCCGCACTTGCTGTAGGCCTATGCGTACGAGGTTTGCTATAACTCTCGCGACCAGGCTCGGAGGCCATCGTGAGAGTGCGCACCATAGTCGCGAGGGACCTTTTCCCAACCGGAATGTCAAAGCTTGCCGTTGCCAGCTGCGACGTACTCGCGGTTTCCCCTTATCGTGGACGTTCGCGTCCCTGGAGCTAACGTTGTACTGTTGTTTGGGGTGCCACCAAAGGCAATAAAGTGTTTGTGTATTTCTGTTAACCAGGCAGTGTCTGTATGGCCACGCCGCGCTAAACACTCTGTTAGTTGAGCACGCCCAGAGTGGGGCGCTACATGTGAGTAGGTGACGGAGACGCAGCCCTGTGGCTCGCTAAGCCTGAACCCGCGGTGGTCATCTGCTACGGTGAGTAGCGAAGTCACCACAAGGCCATGAGACTCTTGCTTTAGATCAAAAACCTGTATGTACCATTCGCGTGCGCGCTGGTACAATCTACCGTGTGCATGTGTGTGTAACAAAACATATTAACACGTATGCACTTAGCTGTTGAAGAGACACTATGGGCCGGATTTCGCTATCGTGTTCAACTCTTAAAGGCAAAGCTTAATTGTCCCTAATTTTTTTCGTAACACCACTGCCGTCTAAATACACCTAATAAGTCTGCTCACAAAGCCCACCTCAACAATTGATTGATATGTGGGGTTTAACGTCCCAAAACCACTACATGATTATGAGAGACGCCGTAGTGGAGGGCTCCGGAAATTTAGACCACCTGGGGTTCTTTAACGTGCACCCAAATCTGAGTACACGGGCCTACAACGTTTCCGCCTCCATCGGAAATGCAGCCGCCGCAGCCGGGATTCGAATCCGCGCCCGGCGGGTCAGCAGCTGAGTACCTTACTACGGCTGACCCCTACGAGAAAATGGTCCCGTGCCGCATTTTCTAAAGGAGACACGGCATCCGAAACTTGAAATATGACGTTCGCTTTCCAATCTTAGAAGCAGGAAAGCCATTATAAAATTAAGCCACTAAGATTAGTCAAACCGACCCCTACGGCTGACAGAAAACGAGAAAATGGTCCCGTGCCGCATTTTCTAAAGAAGACACGGCATCCGAAACTTGAAATATGACGTTCGCTTTCCAATCTTAGAAGCAGGAAAGCCATTATAAAATTAAGCCACTAAGATTAGTCAAACCGACCCCTACGGCTGACAGAAAACGAGAAAATGGTCCCGTGCCGCATTTTCTAAAGAAGACACGGCATCCGAAACTTGAAATATGACGTTCGCTTTCCAATCTTAGAAGCAGGAAAGCCATTTTAAAATTAAGCCACTAAGGTTAGTCAAGCCGGCAGAAAATCCAACATGGTGGCGTCCATACAGGTTCGTGGCTAAAAACAAGCGATTTAGTCCGAAAAATCCAACTTTAGGGGGCGAATTTGTCGAAAAAATGCATTAGCCCTATGGGAACCCTGACAGTACACTTTTGAAGTCCGAAATATACAACAAGTCCAAATTTTTGAAGTCAGAGAAATTGGTTGGCAACTGTACGTGACTGAACTACATGGAATATGGTTGTGGCTGCATCCTTTGTGTGTCTAATGCATTTTGCTCGGTTTATTATACGACAACTAAATTTGGCGTCGCACGCACAAATAGCAAGCAGTTGATTGAGTGATTTGTGGTGTTTAACGTCCCAAAACCACCATATGATTATGAGAGCCGCCGTAGTGGAGGGCTCCGGAAATTTCGACCACCTGGGGCTCTTTAACGTGCACCCAAATCTGAGCACACGGGCCTACAACATTTCCGCCTCCATCGGAAATGCAGCCGCCGCAGCCGGGATTCGATCCCGCGACCTGCGGGTCAGCAGCAGAGTACCTTAGCCACTAGACCACCGCGGCGGGGCGCGCAAATAGCAGTTTAGGTGCAGCACGTCATATTGACGCAGCGCTTCCATCCCTGAAATCACTATTCATTATTTCGAAGTGTTGTGGAGTTACAACAGACACAAAATTCGATAAGTTATTCTGAAACATTCGATATTCTAATGAAACATTCGATATTCTAAAATTCATAGTAGTGAAATATTTTTAACTAAACTAATAGATATTTGGAGTAGGATTTCTGAAAAATTTGTTATTCCAAAAAAAAAAAAACAATCAAAGGTTTGGTATAAGGAGATCGCAGAGTTCAGCAGTGAAAATCAAAGAGTGAATTGTGTGCTCTTTTCTCAATATGCTCCAATAATTCCAGAGCCAAAGTGTCTGTGTGTTATGAATCTGTTGGTGTAAAATTCTGCAAAGCCTAGGTATTTTTCTTGCAGAGAACAGAACTTTCGGATCAAGTGTTCCCTTGGCGTTTGACTCTTCTTGGATTTTGTAAGCGTAAAGTCTTAGACAGCATGAAGACTTTTGCATGGTGGCATTGCGTACATTTTTTTTCGGACACACAGATAATCTTGAGGGTATAGAGAACTCTTTCCCTGCATTGAATAACAATGTTATACAAGAATGTGAGAATAACAAACAATTTTTTTAGTGCATACGTTGGCAAAAGTGAACACTATTCATCGTCTAGGAGGGTTCATTACGTTCAACATAAAGACCAACTGGGGACGTCCTGTATGCTCTCATGGCCAGTCGGAGGACACAGTTTTCTACCGGATCTACCGTATCCACGGAAAATGTGTTGAGATTTTTAGGGGCGAAGCTCAC